ATTGCCTACCCGCATGAATAGGCGAGTTAATAAGAACGGTGCTTCGATCACGCACAAAAAGTGCATGCCAAATCCAGCCCTTTTCAGAAACCATTTCTCTGGGGCTTCCATCTCAACCATCAGAGGCACAATCCCTGCAACAAGGATTCCATACATGGAGCAATATATAAATTTACAAATATAGCTTTTTCATAACGCCAAAATAAAATAAAAATTCAATCAGTATGTTGATTGTTTCACCATTCGTATTGGTTAGACTTCCTTTAATTGCTGCGCAAGCAAGTGTTTCGCTATATAGGTAAAACAGGAAATCTGTACTTTTTATGAAAAAGTTCTGGGTTAATTAGAATCCTCAAGTGAAAACCAGATATTCTTCGGTAAGTCCCAGCTCGTCCGTCTCAGAACTACTCGAATATCGCATAGACAAGACCGCAAATACACTGTAGTAGGCTAAAGTCCATTTCGACTAGTAGCTACAGTAACCGGGAAACTAGGTCAACGATGGATGATTGGCTAAAGAAGCAGTAGTAAAGACTGCAAAATTTCCATGCATAGACTTTGCTTCCCGTCATTCTTTTCTCAACTATCATTTAAAGATCGTTATCAGCTGGCAAGAGATGTCAACTTCCCATCGTATATGAACCCGATAGTGAATACAGTAACTTTTAATAATCTCTGATAATTAAAGACGGAAAATATTGGGGCGTTTTCGTCTCTGAACTGAATGAATCACCTTCTCAATAAATCAATTAATTCTCATCTACGTTCCATTCAATCTTCTGACAACATAACAGAAATCAGAGATATCGTCTTCTAGTTATTATAAGACGTGAATGAGATTCAGGTCATACAAATGAAATCCACGTCAACCTCATCGGAGGTCTCTGCAGATATGGATTTCGCTGAAGAGGAACAATTACGATTTTTGAGTCATGAATGATATTTGCATTCCTGGTGTGCGGTGAACCATGAATCTTAAAGGTCAGATGCCTTCTTCTTCTCACTGGGACTTCTTGTTGCCGTGAGACGGGACTCTTGGCGAAAGGACTCAGTAGCTGTGATAACCATTAGCAAGTAAAAACACCCAATTTATCATTCAGTTAAACATAAATAATGTCATACTGTGCCCTGACACAAGCATGAGAATGCATTGGCATATTCGAATTAATGATTCACCTTAAATGGGCAGGAATTTGTTCCTCACGTTGCCTCTAGTTGGTGATGACATATTCTTTAATTGCTGAATGTGAGTTGAAAAAGGAACGCGTCATTTGCTCCATAACTTTAAAAAAGACTATGGTAACGCGTTGAACAGGTTCTTCCTTTGATTTAGCACTTTTAACTACTTACAGTATCTGACCTGTAGAGCTGAGGTGATCTCAGTTCATAGAAGTAACGATGTTTTGATAAGCTGAGATAACACATCTGAATATTTCACTAAATTTGCATCGCCATAATGGCGTGGTCAGACGATTGTTATTCTGAGGCATACTAAAAGAGATGACTATAATATTCGCTTTCCTTGTGGCTCGCATGGTCTGTGAATCACTTCCATAAATCAGGGCCCTCTCTCATCTTATCGTCTTCTAACACAGCAGCTGTAAAGCTTAATTGTAAAGTGGCATGCGGAGAAAAACAACCAGCAGCTGAGATCTCTATCTACCTGCTAAAATAATTTCCTTTCTATAGTAGAAATAACTTTGGATTGCTATTATATAGAAATGGTGGAGGGAAAAGTCCAGATTCATTGAAGTGGTGAAAACATCATGATGTGAGAGTCAAGAACGCTGTTATCATCAACCGTATTGCAGTATGATGAAGCCCAACCGACGATTCGAATGCAGTCGAGGAGATCAGTCTTTAGAGCATATTCACCTTGAATGTGTACTGTAGATGTTCTACGGCACGGCGACTGATACGCAGGGCATCCCGACTCCCCCCCCCCGCCCACTGCAGAGGTGATCACGTGGTTCAGAGAGAATTGGCATTTCGATTCAACGTTGATAGTCACCTACAACCATTGGATAGAAAATGATCGGTATCAGCTGAGATACACCAAACTCTGAATATTTTCTTCAACATATATCATTACAATTGATCACCTAATAAGAAGAAAGAAGACAATGAACTGAACGCCATCGTTATATAGGGCAGACGTCCATCTGACATGCTCAATGAACATATTCAGACATGCAACAAAGGACAATTTCATCTCAGAAAGATGTAGCAGAAGCGGTGGGCTAATGAAAGTATGAACAACTATGGGAATGGCGATTTATTTGATGGAAAATTGCTAAATAACCTCGTTATAACATATCCATCTCAAATCATGCAGAAACTTCGTTCGCGTCTTCGCATTCTTCTCACTGCGTACTTACTATTAAGGCTTAATGAGCCAGAATGAAATCGAGGCAAATGTTTTTGTTAATACTTAAGTAATTGTCATACACAAATATGTCTACAGGGCATATTGAGTGCGAAGCTGTTGTTGCCCAGTTCTGAGGTCTCGTAAAGGTTCAGAATTGCCATCTACTTATCTGTTCTCTTTCTGAATACGTGATCTATCCGCATATTTATTTTCCTGAGACAACCTTAATCAAAGGATTATGATAGAATTGGGGAGGGG